AGTTTTACAAGGTGAAAAGGGAAAGAAAGCAGAACCTAATTCGAAATCTTCCTAATCAATTAGCCATTATAATTTCTTCGATAGATCAGGAACTATAATCAGGAAAAAATCTTAAGAAAATACGTAAGTCTAAATTTAAATTTCAAATGAACACACGATACATTTATAAGAAATTATTTACATAGCAAAGTAATTTATTCGTGTCACAAAATAATTATTGAACGAGATGCCCCAAAATCTTTGGGTATTTGGTAATCCATGGAAATACAGAATACATAAATGCAAAAATTATAATGGCCTTAACTTTAGTGAAATTTACGTCACATAAAACTGTAAAGAAAATGTTTTCTACAAAGCTGATATGGCATCAACGATTGACAGCAGTAGATGGTACGCGAAGTGGAGCAAGAATATCGTATGAAGGAATATATCAGTACGTCCTGTACATTAAATACGAATATACTGTAAATTGTTTTTACTTTCTCTCTGATCCATTATCGGATATTTTATTCGCTAAGAGATTTCGCAATAATTTCTACGTTTCGTGACAAATAATTCATGTGCTTTCGGCATAAAACCATCAAGCCAGTGGTGACATGTTTTTCCAAGATTTAAAATTCAGGAGCCCGATAATCGTGCTTCAGTAACTAAAAGGGAAGTGACTGCCATGATTACGATTTATTTGGTTCCTATATAAAGATTACCTACCTAGGTAATTAAAATAAATTCTGTTAAACAGTGATTACGTATATAATACACGCTGGATGAAATTCGCATAGGGGCGCTACCTTTCCTTTAAGGAAAAAGACCGTGTGCTTCGCTGATAAATTAAAAAATTATTTTAAGGTACGAGAAAATAGCAAAAAGAAACTAATACTACAAAAAATATAATTTCTTCGCCGCTTCCTCACATTTTCAACTTATTTTTCATTTGAATAAAAATCCGCTCGGTCATTTTCATTAGAGCAAATGTAATGTCCCTATGCGAATTCCGTAAAATGAAATCTATTTCCAGTGATTTGGTATAAAATTGAGAGTAGATATTATATGGTAAAAAATACTAAAAATTAGATATTTTCATTATAGTCTACTATTATTATACCAAAATGAAATGAATAAATAATTACATGGAATATATCGTAATGCCACCAAAGCAGGAACAATTATTATCAACAATTGAAAAGAGACGTGACCTAATTAAGAAACTTAATGCGCAAAAAATTTCGCACAAAAATGGCGTGTTCCAAAATCGATCATTATAGATTTGATTTTTTGGTTTCATTAAAAGCGAGTCTCAAACGATATTCCCTCTTTACGATTTTATATTATACGAATGATATTTTCTACAAATAAATCGTACCAATTTTCTTTCGTTTCGACGTAAGTATTAAATAAAACTGACAAGGAGAGTGCAAATCCTTCGGGTTATCGATTAAGTTGAAACTTCGCAGGTTTGTAGATTTAATCATCCAATTCAAGAAAATTGTATCACTATTGCGAGTATTGGTTTTATGAGAGTGTGAGTGTTGGTTTTATATGTGTGAATGGTAATGAGATAGAATAAATGAAAGTCATTTGGAGTGATATAAATATATGTGCGAGTGGAATCTAGTGTGAATGTTGATAACAAATGTTTACAAGAATGTGCCAGAATGAAACAATTACGTTAGAATCGTCAATGAGTAAACATGTGTCCATAAGAGTACGAGAGAGAGAAGAATTTTCCTGATAGTGAATCTTTTTGTTTAAAATATTATTTTGGGTACTATATTGTCAATATTTAAATATTATTATATAAATATATCAATTTATTAACTATTAAACAACGTACAAGAAATTGGTTTCCATTTCTGTTCACAATTATCAGGACAACTATGATTAAAACTTCATTATTCTTAGCTAGAGATTTCTTTCGAATAGTTATCGATAGTTATCAAGTGCTATTATGACCAAACGACACACCCGAAAATTGGCACCAGCGTGAGAATTTTCAGATATCGCCATTAGGTCACAACAGTACTTGATAAATAATCGAAATAAATCTCTAATTAAAATAATAAATTATAAGGGCAACTACTTAATAGCTTTCGACATATTTATAATCAGAGTTTTATTATTTCCTTAATTACAGATTTATTTCGAATATTCGTCGGGAATTTTCGGATGTCCCCATTAGGTCACAACGGCACTTAAATATTCGAAATAAATCTGTAATTAAGGCAATAATAAAGCTTTAATCATAAATATATAGAAAATTATGGACTAATTGCCCTTATAATGGTATATTTTCATGAACTGAATGACTAAGTCTTACAAACACACAAAGTTTCATCTAAATCTATGACCCGAATGACTTGCACTCTCATTGTGACTGCCCGTCCGTTTATTATTTAAAAATTCTCTCGTATGAACGCTTTTGTCACCATATTAGTTCGCGTAACCGAGGTTCTCATGCAACCGGAAGTGGTATTGCGCGTGCAACTTGCTTAAAAAAGCTGAATTACGATTATGCACGATTATGTCCCATTCTTCCGCGAAAGTCCTAATTTCACGCTCGAGCATTTGTCCGACTTGATTCTTAATTATGACAGCGGTTACATAACTCGCGAGCTATGGCGGAGAAGGCGAAGAACGCGGAATGAAATGGATTCTACAATCACGTTAGTGGTAATACTATTCAGATTAAAATCGGAAAACCCCGCGAAATTGCTCTTGAACGTGACACATTCGAACGATGCCGTCAACTTCTCGCTTTCTTTTACAACTAAAATGAAATTTCGAAGGGAAAAAGCACGAGAATTACCGCCATTTGCTTCTTTTCAGATCTCCAACAACTTATCGATAATTTCCAAAGGTATCGCGCACAAGTATCGCGACGAGGATTAAATATTAAAATTCACGATTGCATTAATATATTTGCTGCGATACAAAGAAATTTCCTGTAATGCATCAATTAATTTGTAACGCGTAATCTTCATGCATTAGCCATCTGTTGCGAAATAACGATACACAGACGGTACAATTATTATATTACTGCGGTTCAGAAATATTTCTCCAAGAACTTACATTTGCTGATAAAGGTTAAGCAAGGAAGTAATCATTTGCGAATTTTTATACATTTTCTGTCACCTGAGATACGCTTATCAAAATTAAAAATATAGCGAGAAAAAGATAATCGATATATCGATAAACAGTAAATTTCCTTGAAATATTTTCTATAATTTTAATTTACTATCTCAGGAGACAAAGAATATAAAAATTCGTTCGCCAAATCGTTACTTTTCTTTTGAAGTATTATCAGTGGGCATACGTATATTATGTTTGTCTGACTATACCTTAATGGAACTAAAAGTATGTTCACAAATCAAAAGTTTCATTTGTATTATTATTTTATTTTTCTGTTCGGGTTGATCACTATTCTATTATACGATATTTATTTTAAATACTTTAATGGCGAATACGTTTAAATTTGTAAAGCTTAATTTCAAAAGAAACATTAAAATAGTTTACGAATATTATTAAATGGGCCCTTTTATTAAATAATACACAAAATAAAAGTGTTCATATCAGTAAACTTATGAGAAAAAATGTGAAAAATGTTGAGAATAGAAATTATATAATTTTACGACAAAGATAAACGAATAAAAATTCCATCTTAATTAATAAATTACTGCCTTGGTCAGTAAATTATTGTTAAATAATTTGCTTTCTATAATTTTTTTCCGCACAAAATGTCGATATGTAATTAAACACTGCAGCAGATTTTAATTAACAAATTTATGCAGAAATTCTTTTTGTTACACGCGATTTATGGACGACAAAAAGAAAATAGGTAAAATGATTATACTCGGAAAACAATTATTGTTGATTAATATTTTACCAAGGATTGACCACTTATGCAAAATTACAAACGTAATTAAATATTTTTTAATTTCCTGTCTGCCCGTAAGCTTTAGAGAAAATTACGAGGAGCATATTTTAATGATTTTTATTTATAAGCACAAAATATGCATCCATGGAATAATATAAATTTACGATACACGAATAAATATAAACTCGATGATTAAGGGTGTTATTAGCAAAAATTGTATCAACTTTGAAAATTCTCGCGAATTTCGATAAATTTATATTTCTGAAATTAATATTTGTACAGTAATAATTTTGTAAATATGAACTTCGTAGATAGGAAAATTTTATACTAAATAAATAAATAAATAAA